AATTCAAGTGAAACAACAACAAATAACACCAATAAAATACAATTTGCAAGATCCAAAGATCAAGTAACAAGAATCAACCATATATCACATTGTGGAAGATGAATCAAGCACAACAATGGTGGATGAAGAACATATCACTTCAAAATCTGAAAATACTTTAAATAAACTTCAAGAACCACACTTCAAAGCCTTGATCTACATGATTTGATGTTGAAAAAGTGTTTTGATGGAGGTTTAGCTCAAAGGTTAGTAAGCTTTAATGAAAAACTTACTAACTTTTAATGGAAGAAAGAGCTTTGGTGAATTTGGTGGTTAAAGGGAAGGTGATTTGGCTATCAAAAGTTTGAAGAATGAATGAAATGAGACCTCTATTTTTAGAATTTAGGCTTGGAAATTTTGGTGGTTTGGAATATGATATAGGCTTGGAAATTGATTTTGAAGGCAAAATCAAGATCAAATGGTGATTAATGAGGGTGTATGATGGGAACTAATTATGATGAGTTAGGGGAATTAAAATGAGGTGATCTAGAATATTCTCATGATGAAACAAGTGAATTTTGGTGCCAAAATGCTGCAGAATATGAAAATTATGTTTTTAGCCAAAGAAACGTACTGGTTAATCGATTAAGCATTTCATATACAAATTTGGTTAATCGATTAAGCATTTCATATATAAATTTTGTTAATCGATTAACACAGTGAAAATTTGAGAAAAATGGCTTCTTGCTGTGCTGTCTTGGCTCTGACTCGATTCTTTTGACTTGTCAAAGAAGACATGGAAATAAACACATGAACCTTACAGTCTCTTGAGCAATAAACAATCAAATCTTGGGAAACTCTTGATCAAATGATTTTGAATTGTTTGCATATCAACTTTGACTTTTTTAGATGAATTTCATTTGAACTGAAGAATTGGTATTTGATGTTCTTGATTCCAAACCTCCTCCTGAAAAATGAGTTAGTAAAGAAAAAAAAACAAACATATATTTTTGGTATTTTGTTTAGGGTTAGTAAACATGAGCAATCAAATAAAAGCAAACAAAGAAAAAACACAGGTGCCTGGTGATCTTGCTTATGATGCAGGATGCAAATTATATATGGGATCTTAGGGGTAAAAATTAGGGTATTACAGCTGCCCCTATTTAAGTTTCTTCTATCTGGAGATATGATGATTGACATCTTGGTCTCAACAAGATAGAAAAGATTTAAATATAACAAGTAAACCCAATTTTTGGCCCTAAGAGACCATAAAATGATATGATTATGCAGATGGTATGCAGACACAAGATCTCTGTGGGGAGTGTAGATGTTTTTAATTGGCTGCATTTTATGGTAAAACAATGTTGTAAATGTAAATGTCATGACTGATGTTATGACATACATGTGGAGTGTAATGCATGGTAGGTTTAAATAGCTAGAGAAAAGTTTGTTGGATGTCATGCTGGATGTTATGACATTAAGCAGTAGACATCAGGGCGCATGTTTTAGGTTTCTGGTATTACATGAGGAAGCTCAGGCTATACTTCAGGAAACATTTTAGGGATCCTAGTTATCTCAGGCGAAATACTAGGCATTGTTGAGCATAACATGAAATGCCCCTGACCTAATTGGAAGTGCGCAACGTCATGAAGAGGGGTTTATCTTGGGTAAACCTAATTTCTTCATTAAGGCCCAAGGACTGTATGCTGCTTATATATACAAAAGTAGCAATCCTAATTTGACAAGGCTTTTGGAGACAGAGAGTACAAAGTGTTTGTGAGTGAAGAATTCTGTTTGTGTAGTTGTTCTTCACGTGTGTTTTTTAGTCTTAGGATTTCTTATGAACCAAGCAATTATATCTTGGATGATTGCATTGGAATAGTGTGGTTTGAGCTGTACTATGTGTGTGTCACTCTAAGCTTTTAAGCATGAGTGTTGTGTCTCTTGATTGAAGCTGTGAAGCAAGATCAAGATTTGTTTGAAGTGTGTCTTCATTTAATCTATAAGTAATAGGTTGATATCACTGTTGTGATTGAGGGGGAGTGAGTTGGTAACTCAGGTCTAGTGTTAGGCTGAAGTGTCATTGGGTAGGTCTTAAGTGAAGAGTGCAAACTGGTTGTTTGACTCTGAATTAATTCTACTAATAGTGAATTTCCTCACTGGCTTGGTAGCCTCCAGATGTAGCTGTGATTTGCACTGAACAGGGTCAACAATTCTCTGTTTTATTTACTGTTTTCACTTTCCAGTTTATTAAGTTTTGTAGTCTGTGTTGTAGTGGATGTCATAACATCCGTGATAACATCAATTGTTGGGTACCTAGAATTTCAAGGAGAAAATGCCACATGAGACAAACAAAAGCTGGGGAGCAAAAGAAAAGAGAATAAATTCCGCAGGGGAAAACTAGAGGGTAAGATTCCACTAAGGGAAAATTACCAACCACAAATAAAAGAGGAATATCTCATCCCAGCGGGGGAGGTAAAAATCTCCGTTGGGGAAAAAATTATCTACTACCAAGCTCCCGATAATAACACGATCGAAAGGAAAGATTACTAACTACCAACCTAGTGGAAGCTAAGACAAGGTAATCAACCAAAATGGTACGAGAAATATTACCTACTACCAGCCAACGGGCGGTACGATAAAGGTAATGGACTTAAATAAAGGATATTACCAACTATCAAATAAGTGATAGCTACGACAAGGTAACTATTGCACCCTAATTTTTGACCGTAAGATGCCACCTCTTTTTGTGTTTTTTTCCCTCTATTATTATTTGACTTTATATTTATATTATTTTTTTTTGTGACTAATCAACTTGCGCAGATGCAGTAATTACAGATAGATAACATCCATTCCCAATCACAAAAACGTGGTCATTTGAGCCTAACTCAGATTGATTACATGGTTTTTCCCTCGATATCTCTTAAAGGTATGTACTCCTAAAGGAAATCAAGATCTCATCAAAAGGAATGCTTAAGACTTTCAGATCAAGGCAATTATTAAGACATTTGGATCTCAAATTTACAAATTGGATTGAAACTCATTTGATTTGCACGAAGTGGATTCCAGAATCGATAGTCAAAGGCGTCGTTCATGAGGATTTAAATGTTGGAATCTTTAATTTATATCTCCATTTTCAAGGTTTAAAGTAGTGGCGTAGTTGCATTACTTCTTGTTTCAAAAGGGGGAGATAAACTCTACACAAGGACATTTGTTTCCACTCAGTCTCACAATACCATGCCTACAAATTGGGAATAATCCAACTCTACGAATGCCACTGTCACGCTACCCCAGTTCAAGCATGGTCAAAATACCATTGGTACATAACTGTTTGGGTTCGATATAAGAACTAATATAAAGCCACCATTCGAGAAGTTCTTCTTAGCTTAAGAAAATTCATGGACCAAAGTTCACATCAAACTTCACATAATCTCATTTCTGAGGTTGCAAAAGTATCTGCAAGAGTTCAATTTAAGAAAGGCAAAGATGAATATACATAAGGTTTCATCATTCTTCAAATACAAGCGGGAACGCCTAAATTTTAGTATGTATATTCATATTGATATTGCAATATGATTTTGATATTTACAAGGATATATCTGTTTTATTCACAAGGGATACAAATTCCCAAACCATAAACATACAAGCAACATGCTAAAGCTATACAATCTTTTCGCTAAAGTTATACAATGTCATTTGGATTCTCGCTTTTGAATACGGCTCAAAGCGGATATGCCAAGTATTCACCTCAGAAAAGAAACACCTATGTACAACACTTCACAACTCCAGGCATTGCCAGACCCAGTACACATGAGAAAGTATTCATGGTCAGTATAACCTGCCAGACCACTACTTGTTTCCTCAATTAAACGCATCGGGTCTCGTTACTTTGAGCCAAAGAAAAGCCTTCTAAGATTACAGTAAGCTGCGCCGAGTTTATGACGGCACCATTCGTCCATGACAATTCTTTAATACTCTGCCGTAGCTCCTGCGTAAATTTAATGAAGTTCGGTTTCGTAAGTATCTCATTAGCAAAACATCAACAAGTTCAAGCTCCGCTTCCCCGGTAAGATTTAAGTGCTCACCAACAAACAGAAGAGGCCTTCTTGTCAAGTTGAAGTGACGGTATCGGCAAATGTAAAAGAATTCCGAGAACCTTGATCTTCAAAAGGAAGCATGAATGACCGTCACGAAGCAGAATGCCGAAGAGCACAAAGCCACCACTATTGAATTGGATCCAGGCTGCTGCCAACAAGTCAAGTTTAATAATTAACCAAACAGCATATGAAAAAGCGGTTACGGGAACATGCTAGCAGCATTTGCTGGTATGTATTTTAGGCAACTCGAATCAAACTACGCCCGTTGTATTACCTACAGCAGAGACAAGTCACTTCCATTTCAGCAGAAACAATACCGATCAAGATTGAGGCTATCAGGCATGTGGATTCAAATGTGGACCCAAATATCACGACTTTGTCCAGCTTGAGAAAGGAAGAAAAGAACTGTAGTTCGTAGCAGCAGCCCCTGGTTGGAAGTTGAAAGCTACGACCTCATCACCTCCGAGGACGCCTCGACTCATTGTTTTCAAATCGAGGGAGTTCTTGCATCAATGATGGCATGGCTGTCCTGTATTGGATTTCTAAGCAGCAACATTAGATATTCCTTGCCAAAACTCAAAAAACCTGCAACAACGATAAAGAACGAAATGGAGTTCAGTTATAGCTCAACCATAGACATTGCAAAAGCAACAAAAGAAACTACATCTAACTTCAATTATCAAGTCCTTAAAACACGGCCAAAGTAAGAAACCAATTGCAGAAATTGAGTTACCATTCCAACTGGTTACGACAATATAAAATCACAAGCATCAAAAACGATGAAGAAATCACTTACTGAACCAAGGGATTTGAGTGGGACTTGCTCCAAACTTCCGCCAAAGCGATCCAGACATGTCTGCACAACTTGCATACCGAAAGAAAGCTACCGAAGATTCAGATATTTCAAAGAGAGTTTCGCAAAAAATGAGACACATGGAGGGTTCACTGCCTAAAGCCAACCTCGCTTTCCCGGACTGCTCTGCTATGGCTGCTAAGTTCCGTGCGATGAATAATAGCGCTGAAGAACAAGTTCGTTCTCGGCAACACGAGGTAACCCATCTTGTTCATCCTGCCACAAACCAAAGTTACCTTTGTTGTATCTCGGATGCGGTTCAATCTTGCGACATTCTCGGAAATCCCTGCGAAGATTATAGAAATCAGAGCATATTTATCAGATTGAGGAAGAAGAAAGCACACAACTTAGAAATCAAGTTACTTAGCTGTTACAAGCGAACAAGAAAATCCACAAGAGGAATGAAAAGGATTCTCGTTCGGTTTCATTGTTTCTTCATCTTCTTGCTTCTTACAAGAGTTCCTTTATCCTCACTCCTCCCGCACCGATACTGGTTATGTAGGTTCAGATACTGCAAGAATTCTGAATCAGGAGCATGGTGATGTTCATCGAATACATTGCTCTAGAGAAAGATAGTATATCAAGAAGATACAGAGACAGCCCTGACATTATTACAACTTTCATTTCACCAAAGTATGGCTGATGCAAATGTCACGAGTCATAAAGGAAATTCGAAACCTGCATAACACAGAGTAATAGCCGTTAATTATTTCACAATCATAAACAACCAACATCAGTGCAGATTCCTTCCAAAACTGTATGAATCATACCTCAGACAAATTAATCCCGAATTGGCAAGAATCTTGATTGTTTCCAAAAGAGTTCTAACCTGTCTCGGGCAATTTCAAACCGAAAAGGAAAAGAAATGATTTTCATTAATATTGTGTCTCATATTCAATCAACTATAAAAGGAGGATACACAGAGATGAAAAGAACAACAATCCACGATTCACAAAAAACCCCAATTTCACGACCCCAAAATCCAAAACCATGAATTTCGTAAATCAGAAAAAGTAAATACTTATCTTCTAAGCTCCAGCAATCACCGAAAATCCCAACGGAAACCGCAAATCGCCATCACCAAGACCTTCGCCGGAAATCACTTCCCCACCACGAGCCGCCGTCACCTCCGCGAATCCATCATCGGGCACCTACAAAACCATTTAAACCGTGAGTTATCTTGCTTTAACTAACGTTAATGATTTTTTGTTGTTGTTTGTTTTATGAAGAAAATCGAGGTGAGAGGAGAAGGAAAGAAGACGGTGAAGTGAACAGAAACGACGAGTAGAAAGACGGTGAAAGAAAAGCAAGAAGAAAATGAAACAAGGGAGAAAGAAAGAAAAACGAATAGTCGTCGGCGATTTGGAGAAGAAGACGCCGGCGAAAAGGGAACGGGGGGGATCTAGGGTTTTTTCTGTTTCTCTTGTAAATTACATATTATGTTATGTACACGTGCACACACATCACCCACACACAATCACATAATCGCCTATTAATCACCTCATTAACCCCACTAACCTCTAATTTAAACTGTTAATAATCTGCTTTAATCCCTAACCAATTCTAATTTAGTTAAATTAATAATTAATCTTTCTGTTAATCAGCAAAATAAAAAAACACTAACTCATTTTTATTTATTTAATTAACCTATAATTTGCTTAACCATTTTAATTCAAAAAAATTAAATCCCTCTTTTAACTTATTTAAATTAATTCCCTTTTATTTAATTTGTTAAAACTTTTTTTCAAATTAGCATGTTCTAAATTAATTGACTCTTTATTTATTTTAATCAACCTTTTTCTAATTAATCTATTCACTAAATCAACTTCTTTTACTAATTATTTTTGTCAATTTAATAATTTCATTCACTTTACCAATTTATTTATCTTTTAATAATGATATTATTCACAAAAATCTTTTTTAAATAAAATTTGAATTTTAATAATAACAACCCTTTTAAAATTATTTACTTAATAAGAAGACCCATTTCATAATTTTTTTTAATCAACTCATATTATTTGATAAGTTAGTAATTACTTGATTATAATTATTCTACCCATAATCCAATAATTTCACTAATAAAATCTAATATAATTTCTCATAAAACCTTTTCTTTTAAACTTAATAAAATTAATTCAGTCATAATATATTTTCTTCATAAAATCAATCTCGTCAAACCAATTCAACCCTCATCAAAAATCAATCAACTTTTTTTTTAATAATTTAACCTCTTAAAATCAATCTCTTAAAATCAACTTGTCTAAAAGACCAATCTCTCGTTTAAAAGCAATCCTATTAAAATCGACTCGACTAAAATAGAATCGAATCAACAATCAATCGTGCACCCCACGACACATTCACCTACACTTCATCGCTTTCATGCGTACATGTATGTTCATTTATCTGCCTTTACCTTCAGCAATTTACATTACAGTAATCTACATCATTATCAATTTATATTCACGCATCGCATCCCGGCCAAAGGAAAAAACCTACACATGAGTCAACACTTGTGTGTAGTGCATCTCATTTGCATCATGCTCCCGCTTGATCCTTGATCTCATTCAAGTCGATCAACTAAGCTAGATCCTACCCCATAGGAAGGACCTTATTCTTATAACATAGACAAAAACAATTCAGACAACACAATACAAACAATATTCAAACACACTAGAGAAAAGATGCCAAATCATCTTAAGCGAGATAGAATCTCCACCCCACAACAATACAATCAAGCCGTAGGGACTTTGCCTTAAGAGAGATAAAGGCGTACTCGTCAAACAAACCGAGTACTCGAGCTCTTTTCTTAAGACGATGCAAATACTATTTTCCTACAACCTGTGGCGGTTATATCTCTCTTAAAATGAAGACACATCTCGTCTCCTAAAATCAATCAAACAACTATCCTAAACCCGTAGGAACTCTGACCACAGTCAAAGAACTCCTCTAACCCTTTAGGAGAATTACAAAATACTCTGATTCCATTCCTGTAAAGATATGTAGGCATAAGATGCGATATCTTATCGAGTATACTTAGATATAAACCCCTAGGTCTTTTACCCTTAAGCAGATAAACACTAAACAATAATAAAACAAGAGGTTCCTGTAGGATACTACAGAAACTTAGGATGCTAGTACCTTCCCTAAGTTTAACCAACCCCCGAACCTATAACTCTCTAAACCTTGCATTTGCATTGCATTGTGGGAATTTCGATCTTTATCCCTTCCTTTGGACAAATCAAAGTTCGGTTGCAAATTGAATTAAAGATTCAAACTAATCAATAGTTTGGTATCCGATTTTCACCGCGACAGTAACCAACCAAAAAGATACGAGAAATATTACCTACTACTAACTAAGGGCGGTACGATAAAGGTAATAAGCTCAAAAGGGAGAGATTACCAACTATCAACTAATTGATAGCTACGACAAGGCAACTAACTCGAATGGAAAGACTACCAACTATTAACCAAGTGATAGCTATGACAAGGTAACCAACCAAAATGGTACGAGAAATATTACCTACTACCAACTAAGGGCAGTACGACAAAGGTAATAAACTTAAAAATAAGAGGTTACCAACTATCAACTAAGTGATAATTATGACAAGGTAACCAACTCGAGTGGAAAGATTACTAACTATCAACCAAGTGATAGCTACGATAAGGCAACCAGACCAAGCTATAACAAGCTTCTGTTGTCGGAGCAAGGGACCAGAGTTCAAACCAAGAATAAACCAGAAAGAAGCGATCAAGCAAGACTCTAACCGGTGAGGAAATATCTCAACTGAGGAAAGTTCCATCCAGATGATGAACTGGAAAGGAAACTGAACCAAAATCTTCCACGAGAAACAAACCCAGTGGGGAATTAGAAAGGAATAAACTATTTCTGCTTAATGGTCGAAACTCTATATTTGAGATAGGACACACACACTCCGTGGAGAAAATAACACCAGAGACTGGGGAAACACCAATGATGTCAGATGCATAACGATGAAACAACAATGATGTTATGCTCGAATGCAAATGCATGAATATGTGTATGAATATGCTGACAAAACCAACAAAAGAATAAACACATGATGATAAAACACCACGACTTAACTGGATACTCGACTAATCTAAAAAAGACGGGGATATCATTAGAAATCCTGCTAGGGATACTCTGCAGGGGAATGAACCGAAGTGATCCTATGGGGATTCCACTGGGAGGATAAAAGCCATCAAAGGAAATAAATTATGCTTCAAGGCTTAGATCTTACTGGGGAGAGAAAGATACTGCTTGGGGAAAACTCAAAAGATTCAATCTTCTAATATCAATAATCCATAAAAGGGATAACAACATCAACTCTGCTTCAAGGATGAAAGAAAAATTGTTGGGGAAGCAATAACAACCCAAATCTTCTTGACTCTTCCTGGGGATAAGGAAAATTCATATGAATCCGCTTCAAAAGGATGAAGAGATCTGTTGTAGAAAATAATGGATCCGCTGGGGATTGCAATCATGTAAACGATTATACAAACTCCACTGGAAAACAACGTCGATCTTCTAGGGATACAAGAAAAGATCTCTGAGGGCTAGCTAACCCTGAGAAAAAACATCCTAGACTTTCTGGGGGAAATGAGAAATTAACATCATAGCAAGAAGTCAAGATGTGGGGGATTTTAAATCAATACTCAATACAAGGTGAGAGAAAACCCAACATGTGACTGCTATATCAACACTTCTGAGTAGGAAATGTTGCTCTATGCTCAGGAAACATCCAAGGAAACATCAACACAACCAGAGGATAAAACTCTGCATGAGGGATTCAACATCATGGAGAGGTGAAACTTAAAACTGCTCCATTGCCTAATCAAAACTTGGCTGGAGGGAAAAAACATACTCAGCTGGGGAAGATTCAAATCATGACTTAGCTAGGAAAAAACCAAACAATGCTCATCTGGAGAAAACCCAAACTGGTATTCAACTGAGGAATATTGGATTCCATGAGTCCAACATGTCGTAACAAATCTTGAGGAAACCCACCACCTGTTTAACTACTAAAGGAGGAAACCTGGTTTCAAACTCTGCTGAGGAATTATCAACATACTTTACTAGGAAGAATAAGAACGACCCCTGTTAAGGAAAACACTAAGCTTTGTGCTTCGCAATCTCACCATTCTTGAATAACTGTTGACATTCTTTTTTTTTTATATTCACAAATCAAAGGAAAATGTTTTTATAATTTTTTCAAAATTTAAATAAATTATTCACATTTTGTTTCAAAAATCATCATCAACAATAAATGAAATTTTACAAACAGAAACAAAATAAGAATTGTAAATAAAGGGACAAAGGCCCAAATTTTATTGATAAAATGGAAGCTCGCAAATGGCGTAACTCCATGGATCATTAAAAAGTTTGAAAAATGGTAAATACATGGAAGTGGTTACATTGAAATACAATAATCATTATTCTCCCTAACAACTTTGAGTTCCTACTTGCTCAAAGCTTTTGTCGAGAATGGTCGAAAGAGATCCCTGACAGGAAATGTTGTTTCAA